TCAGCTCCTTAACTTCTTGATTTCCTCCCTTTGCTTTGGCTTCTTGGTGCGCTAGTGCAATATTCAGTCTCTTCTATCATACCTTCTGGTCTTTTCTTCTTCTTCCGTCTTAGTAATGACTCTGCATTCTTCATGGGTGATATTGTTGATATTTCCCCACAGCTTATCTTGTCTTCATTCATTAGTGTTCAAGGCCTCAAACCTAATCCTGAGTTGGTTCTTAGATTCATAGGAGATAGACTCAAGGTCAAATATTAATTTCTATAGATATGATTTAACCTTCTTTAGATTTAATTTGAACTTGCATAAGGAATTAAACATATTATAGTACAGCTAAGTTATAGTATAGCCATGAAAATATACTATGTTACATTTGTATAAATGTACATGTTGTAGTCAGTGCTGATAAATCTCAGCAAAATAATGTTGAGTAAAAGAAGTGACTTTCAGAACATAAGTAGAAAGTTTCCATTTTTAAACATGTTTTAGAATAAAAATTCCATAACAATAATGTTCCAATTAAGGAACTGTTCAATGTTAGTAAGAATATAAAGAGAAACAAGGATGATTATTTTGAAAAGTAAGATAGGTTTTTTCTATTTTATTGATTATTAATAAAGTCCATTCAAGTTCATGTTTTGTATATCCTTTTCTACATGTTTCATTTTCAATATTGTGTGTGTGTGTGCGCGCCTTGAGAATTCTTTATCTAATCTTCCCACTTGCTTCTCGGTCTTTATTTCTTATGGTTCTTGTTGTTGTGTAGTACTTTTGAGTAGGAACAGAGTCTTAGCTGATCCTCTAGCAGGTTTTCAGAGGGAATGAATTGCATGGTAAAGTATATCCTATCTTTCTTCCAGGGAGCAGCTGGTGAATTGATTAGAAGCTGTGTGCTTTTAGATTGGCAGCTCAAGCCCCCAGAGCTCCCTGATTTCTTAGTACTTGATCTATTATTTACTGTCGTTTGAAGAGAGTGACTTTCCTTTTGCCATTATTGTTCCCTTTGTCTGGAAGATTCACCGTTAAAATATTTGTAAGACTGACTTGTCAACATTTAGTTCCCACAGTATCTACTTAGTCTGCAGATCAACTTTCCTTGATCATAGTTTCTAAATGACTTCCTACTTTCCAGTTACTTTCTATCTCACCACACCTTCAGGTTTGTGATTACAAATCACTGACTAAATATGAATAGACGCCTTTTATCTCTGGATAGTGTTAATAAAAACAAGATACTGTTGTTGTTGATTGCCATCAAGGCTAGCAGGACTCATAGTGACCCTATGAACAAAAGGCCTGAAGCCTTTCTGTAACTATAGTTATTTATCAAAGCTCATAGAGTTTCCAGAGGCATGTTGTTTAGGAAGTGGATGCTACCCTTATTTAAAAAAAAACAACCACACAAACCCCATAATATTGAAATTTTATTGATAATTAGAATGTTCCCTACATACTAGAAAATTGTTTAAAATCTTCTATTCATGGACTTTTACACATTCCTTACCATCATAAAAATGGTTTATTAGTCACACTTTTGAAATAACAATATGTAACAACCTTAACATCTTGCAGATATAATGCTTCCTGTTTTGGTGGGGTTTTTTTGTCATCTTGGGCTGTTTTTCACTGTTTTGTTTTGTTTTGTTTTGTTTTTTTGTTTGTTTTTCACTGTTGACATTTAAAATTTATAATTATGCTTAAGATGTTTTATGAGTTATGTTAAGAAAGAGAAGAAATTTTCACTATTCATTACAGTGTCTAGTACATCCCACTGCCATCAAATTGGATTCAGTTCTACAGCGACTCCCATCAAATTTTTGAAGCTGTCAATCTTTTAGGGTTATGAAGTTGCACACCTTTGTTCCTTAAAGTGACAGGTGAATTTGAACTACTGACTTTTAGGTTAGCATACCAGCACATAACTGTACCACCAGGGCTTCTTCCCTTGCCCATACTAGATAATAAATGTTAATTAGAAAATGACTTTCAAGTTGGTAATGTAAGGACATTATCTGAAAGAAAATGTGTAATAAGGGGTGGGGGGAGAAACACCAGCTAGGAAGAAAATGAGTTTTAGATTAAGAATTATTGTTGTTGTTGTTATGTGCCGTCGAGTCATTTGCAACTCATAGCGACCCTATGTACAACAGCCCTAAACCCTGCTCTATCCTGTGCCAATCTCATTGCCTCTGACACACCCATCCCGATTACCCAGTCACTGAATCAATCCACCTCATAGAGGGTCTTCCCCTCCTGTGCTGTCCCTCCACTCTGCCCAGCATGATGTCCCTCTCTAAAGACCTGTCTCTCCTTACAACATGTCCAAAGTATGTCAGGCAAAGCCCCAGAATCCTTGCCTCCAAGGAGCAGCCTGGTTTAACCCTCTCTACGATGAATCTGTTTGTTTTCTTGGCAGTCCATGGTACATTCAATACTCTTCTCCAGCACCACAGCTCAAAGGCGTCAATTCTCCTTCTATCCTCCCTAGTCATTGTCCAACTCTCTGATGCATAACAAGTGATTGCAAAAACCATGGCCTGTATCAGGCACACCTTAGTCTCCAGAGAGACACCGTTGCTCTTAAGCACTTTAGAGAGGTCCCTAACTGCAGACTTTCCCATCGCAATACGTTTTTTGATTTCCTGGCTACTGGTGCCAAGAGTGTTGACCGTGGAGCTGAGCAAACTGAAGCTGTGAACAATCTCAATCTCTTTGCCATCCATCCTGATGCTACTGATTGGTCCAGTGGTGAGAATTTTTGTCTTCTTGACATTGAGCCTCAGTCAACCCTAAGAATTATTATGATATGGAATTAAGAGGGTGGTTTATTTTGCATTAAAACAAAACAAATTATCTCAGAAACATGGCGGGATAAGAAAGTGATTAAATTGGCTATATAGACAAGCCACTGTTCTTGCAGATTAGTTTTCACGCTGAGTTTTGGGATTTTCCACTCCCTTCTTTTCGTTTAAGTAGACTTTTAGTGGCTCTCAGCTGTGCATATCTTTAAGGCTTTTTATATGTTTCAAGTATAGCATATGTTGAAGAAAAGCTTTTCCCTTACTAGAATTTTTTGTTAAAATTTTTTAAAAATTTCATAGTCAGATAGTTCCTAATGTTTTAGAACTTGAGACTAGAGTTTAAAGTTTGGCTATAATAAACTTTATTGACTTAAGAAAGAGTATGAAAGACTCTGAAATTTAGAATCTAATGGATTGCTAAGAGAACAAAATTTTCATCCTGTTGAGAGTGAAACCAGGCTGCTCCTTGGAGTCAAGGAATTTGAAGCTCTGTAAGACATACTTTGGGCATGTTGCCAGGAGGGACTAATCCTTGGAAAGGGATATCATGCTTGGAAGGGTGGAGGGACAGCACAAGCGAGAAAGATCCTGGATGAGATGAATTGACTCAGTGGGGTAATGTGGTAGTTGTGTCCAAGACGGTGAAATTGACTCAAGATAGCAGGAATCAGGGCTGCTGTACATAAGGTCACTATGAGTGCCAAGAGACTCAATGATACATAACAACAATAATAGGGAAGCCATAAGTTATTGTACTTGATTATAAGTTACTTATACAGAGAGAAGGCAACATTAAAGAATGTCACAAAATATAAACATATTATGTATTATTACCCAATCTTTTCAGGTCCCTGTCAGATACTTCTCATTTCCTTCACCCCCTCCCTACACCCAAAACTGTACAACACTGTGGTTTTTCCCCTACCCATACTCACCCCTCTGCTCCCACCCCTTCTTCCCTTGGGTTCTCATGCATATTTTACTAATTATCCTTTTATTTTTACAATAGTAGTCTTATGCTTTATTTGTCCTTGTGAGTGAGACTCCGTTCACACAGCATAATACTTTCCTGTCTCTCCCAAGTGATTGATTTTATAAAACATAATGCATGGAAACGATTGTATGAAATACAATAGGAATGAAGTATAGTGTCAAACACAATATATATATGAACTTTGTGAGCAAACCAAAAAATAAAAAGATATAAATGACAGAGGAAAGAGTGCACATGCGCTTATGACTAAAGGGTGTAACAACTTAAAAATAGTAAGTATATTAGTTAATCACATTATAGATTTTAATTGTGATTCTATTAGAAATTACATAGTTTCTGCAATAATTTTAACATTTTTAATTATTTTAGGAATATTTTGAAAAGAAAAAGTTAAAATCAAAAATGAAGTTACTGGGAGCTTTATCCCCTGCCAAAAATTCTACTGTCAGCTTAGACCTTCTTAACCTATATATAGTAAATCAGATATCCTCCAAGAAGGAAAAGCCTGGTAAGTCTTTCCAGTGGCATATTGTTTTGATACTAATGCAGTTATGATAACTTTTAGCTTGCTATTTAGTGTATATAGAATTCAAAGCATGTGGAAAATAAACTAATTCTAAAGCTTGGCTGCCCTTATAAACTAAAGCAAAGCTAACTTATGCTTAAAATCTTCTCTTACTTATTTCTAGATACGTGTAAGTGTTATTATATAAGTTAATTTTTCCAAGATATTGTTAAGCTTATTGGATATAGTTGTTTTAGTTATTACAACGGTTCCTATAGGCAGATGTCTCTAAATCTTAAGTTTTAGCTAAAGATGTTGTTGTTGTTGTTGGGTGCCATCGAGTCGTAGATGGACTCATAGCAACCCTATGAACAAAAGGCCTGAGCACAGCTAAAGATTAGGGAATAAATATCTTTTTCTCACTTACTCTATACAGCAGTTATTTTAAGGAGGAAGCTGAAGAATTTTTGACTCAGTGATTATCTTCTAGTCTTACAACTTGAATTATTTCTTAGCCATTCCTAGGATTCTGAAAATGTAGTAATTGAATACTTCATAACAAAGTGCATTTTGACCTATATGTTAATTCTTTAAGTAAATAAGATCTTTATTTAGCATATGTATTTTTAATTTATAAATTTTTTAATGTTAAAAAGGAATGTATGTCTGATAGATAATTCCTTAAACAAATCCCAAAATTATATATATGTATAATAAGAGTGTAAGAAATAATTTATCAAAATTAGAAATTGATCATACTATTGTTACTATTTTTCCCCCTGTTCTCTGCCTTTCTTTCTCTCTCCATAGATAAAATTTATCTATTGAATTAATTTAAATTTAACTTACTTATCTAATTTAACTCTACTTTAACTAAAGTAAATGTATTATTCACAGGTTTAGGGTATAAAGGGTTTTTGTTTTAAATATGTTAGCTGTGTTTACTGGTGTTTTTTTACTCCTTCACTTTCTTTTCATTCTTTCAATATATGTTTATTGACTATTTTCTATAAGTCCTATATGGGAGGTAACATAGGAAGCAAGATCTTGTTAGGATTCATAGTTGGACATGACATAAATTAAAAGCAAACAGACTAAAAAACCAAAACAAAGAATTTGCTTATTTAACTAGGAAGAAAGGTAATAGTGTAGTTTGGCCTCTGAGGCAACTTGGAATTGGGGCTTGAATACTGCTAGGACTCATCACAGATGTTAGCTTCATGCTCTGAGACTGCCTTTATCCAAATGTAGTGCCAAGAAACTTTCATTGCTCCTCTTTGCTGGTTTCCTTTCCCTGCCACCAATGATAGACTAAGAGTTGTTTCTGTTTCCACATTTTAAAATTCCATTGAAAAGATGTTGCCTTTATCTACTAGTGTGAGATGTCAGCAGTGGAGCAGCTATAACCAGTTGTATAGGATTCAATTATTGGTCCTGCCTGGGCTACATAGAACCCAAACCAGTCCATTGCTGTTGAATTGATTTTTATACATAGCTATCCTTCCTTGACTGACTCAATCAAATAGGTTTTGGAGAAAGTGCAGCCAGAGTGCTCCTTTGAAGCCAGGATGATAAAGCTTTGTTTCCCACACATCGGGCATGTTACCAGGAAAGGCGAATTACTCAGAAAGGACTTCCTGCTTGGAATGGTAGGAAAGTCAGTGAAAGATGACCCTCCACTAGATAGGTTGACACAGTGACTGCTGCAATGGGCTTGAGTATGTCAGGAAGAATGAAGATCACACAGTATAGGAAAGAGTTGAGAATATTTGTTTATAGGGTTGCTGTGAGTACTCGAGTCAGTGGCATCTAACAACAACAGCAGCCCCCTCATGAGTTTCAAAGCTGTAAATCTTTATGAGAGGAGATTATTTTTCTCCTATAGAGCAGCTAGTGGATGCTGACTTTTTGGTTAGCAGCTTGATACATTACATGCTAGGTCACCTTGGCTACCCCTACAATTCTGTTATCCAAAAAATCAGAAGTATTTTTGAAAAAGAAAATACCCTCTAGAATGATATAATTTAAATGTGTGTAATAATTAGTTCCTAGAAAATAATTAGGTAGAAGTACTAGACCAAGTAATTAATTTTTCAGTAAAATCAAGTGTGTTAGGTGAGAAAATCCCTAGTATAATGGGAATATATAATGCAGCACCTGACATTGTCTCATAGTCAGAGAAGTTTTGGTGAAAGAAAGAAGTAGAACTGAATTTATAGGGACTTTTTTATGAGATAAACATAAAACTATAAAGAAAAAGATTTTAAAAAATTTTCTGAGATAGTTGTTGGTACCTTCTGGTACCATGCCTTCTGGTTTATGGGGAATATAAATTATTAGCGAATGTTCTAACAGGCATGGTTATTTAATAAAGCTGATACATTAAAAAAACTTTTAAAGACCTTATTGTTTGCTTTTACTTTTAACTAAAAAGATATTTTTTCTTTAAAGAAATTGTGAGAAAACCAGTCCATGTGAATATGAATAGAGATATAAAAATGCCTGCAAGAAAGCGTGATTTAGAACTTCCAATGTCACCTAACTGTGTTCCATCTAAACTCTGCCTTGATGATACAGAAAACAGGTATAGTTTAGCCACATTTTTGTTATTAGGTATTTACACTGATCATTATCAACATTGTTTTGGTCACTGGAGAATAGAGAATGGATTTATTTGTTTTCAAGTAGAAAATAGATGCATAATTCTGTTTTTGTTTGACTTTTAACAGCTTTATAAAATTAAAACCTTAATTAAATGATCAAATGTTGATAATATTTTACAATCTGACATTCCTTGTTATAAAAATGTATGTTTTATATTAATATAATTTTATGAAAATGAAAAATATTTTGACCACACCATCTGTATTTTAACCTTAATTTTTTTTCCCTCTTTATTTTAGTGTACACTATCAAGAACTAGGGAGCAAGAAAGAATTTGGCTCAGTTCAGGTGAGATTAGTTTTTAAATATGAAGGTACTGAACAACAATGATACTATTATACATCTTTTTAGGGCGCTCTGGTGAGGTAATCTATAGAAAACTTTACGGCTAATCACACTTCTGTGGTGAATTCTCTGTAGGAGAAAGATGGTTGTGCAATTTACAGCCTTGAAAACCCAATGGAGGGCCATTTAGGAATTGGAATCAACTCAACAGACATGAGTTGAGTTGTTATTTTAACAGTTGTGGCATGCCACAAGTCTAAATTTTCAAATACGAAAAAAATCACTAATGCTTTTTTGCATAAGTCTGTCTGTTGTGTTCTCTTGAGTAGGGATCTACTCATGGCTGACCTTCAGCAGATTTTCAGAGGCAGTAAATTACTCAGGAATTGGTTGCCTATCTTTTCTCCCGTTGAGCAGCTGGCAGATTTGAACCATGTGCCTTTATGCTAACAGCACAATTCCTTACTAAAAGGCCACTAGAGTCCCTTTGCATAATTTTTCATCTTTAAAAGACTTATTTTTAAACTTTCTGATGTAAAGAATCTTTATCTTCAGAGTAGCTTAATTATAGATTGCTTGTGAGAAACATTTTGGAATATTGGTAATACAGAATAGGAGTATGTATGCATAACATTTGATTCTAATTTGATGAGCCTAAAGTACTCAAGAGCAACGGTGTCTCTCTGGAGACTAAGATGTACCTGATACAGGCCATGGTTTTTGCAATCACTTGTTATGCATCAGAGAGTTGGACAATGACTAGGGAGGATAGAAGGAGAATTGACGCCTTTGAGCTGTGGTGCTGGAGAAGAGTATTGAATGTACCATGGACTGCCAGGAAAACAAACAGATTCATCCTGGAGTGGGTTAAACAAGGCTACTCCTTGGAGGCAAGGATTCTGGGGCTTTGCCTGACATACTTTGGACATTTTGTAAGGAGAGACAGGTCTTTAGAGAGGGACATCATGCTGGGTAGAGTAGAGGGACAGCGCAGGAGGGGAAGACCCTCTGTGAGATGGATTGATTCAGTGACTGGGGTAATCAGGATGGGTGTGTCAGAGGCAATGAGATTGGCACAGGATAGAGCAGGGTTTAGGGCTGTTGTACATAGGGTCGCTATGAGTTGCAAATGCCTCGACAGCACATAACAACAACAAGGGTATTAAGAGTTCTTACTTTGAGGTCTCATGATTGTTGAACATTTATCTCTTCAGACTTAGTGTTAGTGACCATATTATGTTAATTGTGCAAAAATTGTGGTACTCTATTCTAACATTGTAAAAGGATCAAGGACAACATGGAGATGGCTGTGTCTGACTGTAAAGAGAGCAAAGGCCATGTGGGTATTTCCATGTCAATAGCATCAGTAACATAAAATCAATTCCCATGAAGTTAGAATGTTACTCCATGCTCCCATATCTCTTTCTACTCATTGCAACACCAGTCTTACTGCTTTGCTGTGTCCACCATGTGATGCCTTAGCTCACAGACCACACCAAACAATATTGGAGAAGTAAAAAAATTATAATCCAGATTAATAACAGAATACAGTCAAGATAGCTCCCATAATGTACACAAAGGCTCCTCAACCTTGAGCCTCACAATTCAGGCCCATTAGTGTTCTTAGGTTCTCAGTCTTGACTGTATTGACTTGCCACCCTCAGTTGTCCAACAGAGTTCTCAGTCCTGCCAGTATTGGCTCTTTCCATAACGCCCCAGGTCACTTCTCAAAATCAGGTCACCAGTTCAGCCATAGGAGTTGCTGCCTTAGGTGTGGCTGGAGCAGGAAGGGCATCCTACTATTTTGTCTTGATTTCTCTTAAAGGTTGCCAGAAAAGCTATCTGTCCTTCACTTTATCTTGCTCAAGTCACTGATGAGACTAGCCAATCCTTTTATAAACTGTTGAAAATGGCCAATCCCCATCTGGATAGGCTAACACCCCCCCCCATCAGCATATTCTTACCTATCTACATAGCATCTTCTATCCTAATACAACAGTTACTTCAGCATAAAGCAAACAGTTAATCTTCTGGATAGGATATACAAACCTTTTAATAATAGAGCAAGACAAGGGATCTAACCCAAACTAGATTCGGTACCTCCTGGCCTTCACAAGTGGGAAGATTCTGAAACCACCTTGCCCTCTCAAATCAGGTCATGCCCATCCTCCCAGAATTCTGTTGGGTTTGCTGACAGGGGATTCAAAGCAAGACATAGGATCTAACCCAAACTAGCTCTAGAACTGGTGGGCTTCGCATGCAGAAAATTCTGGATCACTTTTACTCTCTTAAGTCAGTTAACACCCATCCTCCCAGAATTCTACTGAGCTTTTTTGACAGTGAGAGGATTCAGAGCAAGGCAAAGGATCCAACTCAAAGTGGCTTCAGAACTTCCTGGGCTTCACAAGTGGGGAGATTTTGGAACTATGTTTGCCCTCTCAAATCAGGTAATGCTCATCCTCCCAGAATTCCACTGGTATTTGTTGAAAGTCAGGGGATTCAAAGCAAGACAAGGAATCCAAACCAGAGTAGCTTCTGGAATTTTAGCCTGTAGACCTTGGGCCAAGTAAACACCAGTGTACCAGAGGAGACATCACTCTTACTTGGGAAATTATCTTACTGTGACAGCAGTGTACTGCCAACAGAAGAGCAGATATACCAAGTCACAAGATGACAGTCCTGGAGCAGAAGCTCAGGGGCAAGGACCTTTCCCCAGTACTGCCTCATACAGGAATCCTTCCCTAAAGCTTGTACCTGGGACTTGGACTAGAGACTCTTAAACTCAGGAGAGATTGGCAGCAGCATAAGAGATCAGCAGCAGTGTGAGGCTTTGCAGAAGTGACTTGAGGCCTGAGCCATCCTATCAAGGATTGGCTAGGGGATAGGATGTCCAGGATGGGGGAAGCGGAAGTGGAAGAAGATGCTGGTGGAGCAGGTAAAGGGATGGGAACAAGATATGTACCAAGTGTGGGGGTGGGACACAGCACTAAATTTGTTGGATACTTCTGTAATGGGGAAGTGTCTTTCATCTCTTCCTTTCAGTAAAATGCTGTCTGTCAGATATTTTTCTAAAGCTGGGCATACAACCTTAACAGACGAGGAAAAAAGATTGTTTATCTACTTCTGAAATATCAGACCTTTGAAAATCCTATGGACAATAGAGCATATTTAGAGTAGACTAGCAGCTATGGCATCTGAGGCTGAACCTTTGAATTTGGAAACACAAATGAGGAGGAACAGTTATAAGCAGACACTAATGATTGGAATGTAGAATATGAGAAGCATGAATACAGGGAAAGTGGACATTCTTAAGAAAGTAATGGAGAGAATACTAGGTTTTGGCAAAATGAGATAGATTGGCATGGAAATTTTGAAGCAAACAATTGTATAATCTGCTGTTCTGGAGATGAAAAGGTGAGGAAAAATGGGGTTGCTTTCATAGTTAAAATGGTAATTTCTAGATCCATCTTGAAATACGATGTTGGAATGACAGGATAATATCCATACACTTACAAAGAAGTCTGGTGAATACCACTATCATTTAAATATGTGCACCAACAATCAGAGCCAAAGAGGATGAAATATATGATTTCTACCAACTTTTGCAGTCAGATATCAATTAAACATGTAACGAAGATGCATTAATAATAATGAGTGACTGGGATGAAGAAGTTGGGAACAGGGAAGAAGGATCAGTAGTCAGAAAGCATGGACGTGGTGACAGAAATGAGGCTGGAGAGAAAATGATTGAATTTTGTATGATCAATGATTTATTCATTGTAAATATCTTTTATAAGAAACATAAATGCAGTCTATACACATGTTCACCTGATAGAATTCACTGAAATCAGATAAGTTACATCTGTGGGAAAAATTCTTGGATTGTGAATTATTGAATTGTTTCACAACTCAGTATCAGCTGTGAAAAGCAGGCCAGGTACTGATTTTGGCACATGCCACCAACTATTCATATGCATGCTCAAACTAAAGAATGTTAAATCCACAGAAACCAAATTTGACCTTGAGTTTCTCCCCCATGAATTTAAAAATCATCGAAGTCTTGAACACTAATGAACAAAGACCAGATGAACTGTGGAAGGAAAGCAAGAATATCATCCATGAAGAATGCACAAGGTCATTACAGAAACAGAGCGAAAGAAAAGACCAAGATGGATGTTAGAAGAGACTCCGAATATTGCACTGGATTACATTGAAGCTAAAGCGAAGTGAAGAAATCAGGAAATTAAGGAGCTGAACAGAAGATTTCAAAGGGCAACTTGGGAAGTCAAAGCAAAGTATTATAATGAAATGTGCAAAGAACTGGAGTTGGAAAATTAAAAGGAACAAACTCGCTGACATTTCTGAAACTTAAGAACAAATTCAAGCCTCAAGTCACAATACTTAAAGATGCTATGGGCAGAATATTGAATGATCCAGGAAGCATTAAAAGAAGATGAAAGGAGTACATAGAGCCTCTGTACCAAAAAGAACTTGCTGACACAGAAGAATTTTACAAAGCAATATATGCTCAAGAAGCTATGGAGATAAAGGAGGAAAGACAAGCTGTTCTAAAGGAATTGACAAAAATATCATTTTAAGAATTGATGGAATACAAATTTACATATTTTAACAAATAGATCCTTCCCTGGAAGTGCTCACCAGATTGTGCCAAGAAATCTGGAGGACAACTACCTGGCTAACTGACTGGAAATGATCTGTATTTGTTCCCATTCCAAAAATAGGTGACCCAACAGAGTGTGAAGATTGGAGGCAAGGATTCTGAAGCTCTGTCTGACATACTTTGGGCATGTTTCAAGGAGAGGGACATCATTCTTGGGAGGGTGAAGAGACAGAACAAGAGAGGAAGACCCCGGATGAGATGGATTGACTCAGTGACTGGTATAATAGTAGTAGGTGATAGAGACAATAAGGTTGTCTCAGGATAGAGCAGGGTTTAGAGCTGTTGTATGTAGGGTCACTATGAGTTGCAATCAAATTGATGGCACATAACAACAACATCACTAATAACAAGTACAATGCTGCTGAATATTAAAAAAAAAAAAAGACTGAGTACATTAACAGAGAAACTTTCAGAAATACATGCCAGGTTTGGAAGAGGCTGTGGTGCTAAGACATTAATGTCAGATAGATCTTGGCAGAAAGCAGAGTACCAGAGGAATGTCTTATCTGTGTTTCATTGACTATGCAAAAACATTTGACTGTCTGGGTCACAACATGTTCTGGCTAACCTTGAGAATAATGGGAATCCCATAACATATGATTGTGCTCATGCAAAACCTTTACTAGGGTTAGGAAGCAGTCCTAAGAAAAGGGCAAGGAAATACAGCATATTTAAAAATCAGGAAAGTAGTGCAGCAAGGATACATTCTATCCCCATGCCTTTTCCATCTGTATGCCAAACAAATCATTCAGGAAGCTGGACTTTAGGAGGAGAATGTGGCATCAGAATTGGAGGAAGACTCATCAACAAGCTGCAATATACAGATAATACAGCATTTCTTGTCGAAACTGAGGTGGACCTGAAGTGTTTGCTGTAGAAGGCCAAAGACTGTAGCTTTCAATACAAATTGAAGCTCAGTGACAAGAAGACAAAGATTCTTGCCACTGTGCCAATTGGCAGCACCATGATAGATGGAGAAGAGATTAACAATTTTAGCTTGCTTGGTTCCACAGTTAACTTTTGGTATCAGCAGCCAGGAAACCAAAAGACAGTTTGCATTGAGTAAGTCTGTGAAGTGCTAAAGAGCAATTATTTCAGTCCAGAGACTAGGGTTAACCTGATTCAGGAGAATGGTCTTCTTAGTATTTACTGGGCATCAGAAAGCCTGAACAGTGACTAAGAATGACGGAAGAAGAGTCGATGCCTTTGAGGTGTGGTGATGGAGGAGAATCTTGAACATACCATGGACCTCCAAGAAAACTAACAGCTCTTTCTTAAAGAGGGTGAAATCAAGTTTCACCTTGGAGGCAAGGATTTTGAAACTCTGTCTCACATACTTTGGGCACATGGCCAGGAGAGATCAGTCTTTGGAGAAAGAAATCATGCTTGGAATGGTGAAGGGATATCAGGAGAGGAAGACCCCAAAATGAGTTAAATTCACACTGACGGGGGTAATGGAGGTAAGTGTGTCGGAGTCATTGAGACCAGCCAGAATAGGGCTGGTTTCAGAGCTATTGTACATGTGTTGCTATGAATTATGGACAACTTGATGGCCTATAACAACAACAACAACAACAACAAATCTTAGCTCTACAGCTAAACTCTCCTAGCTCTACAGGGGAACTGTCACCACCACCAACACGTGTGATACAAAACCAGTTCCCAAGAAGTTCAGTATGCCCCCAGACTCCCATATCTATTTCTGCTAATTCCAACACCAAGCTTAACTGCACTAATTGATCCAAAATCTGTTGCAATAGGTCAGAGGCCCCACAGTCACCTCATTATTGTGGAGTTTGTTAGGGAATTTAACAGGATACAATTTCTCAGTCAGGACAGCTTCAGAAGTGGTCTCACAGGCTATTCAATTTTTAATGTTGCTGCTTTTGGCCTGTGCTACAGAACCTGCCAATTTTGGTGTCTCCTTTCAAGTTCTCCAGCAAGTTTGGACAAAGGCCCCTGGTTTTAGTTCTATTGGGTAGCAGTCCCATGTCATTTCTTTCTCACACTGAGTAGGTCTCTGGTTCTGTGCTGCAGCTGCTGCTACTCTTCTATAGGTCTGGATGATGCAAGACTCTTGCCCCAAAGAGGACACACTATTCTTTCCTTTGCTGGTGGTGAGATTCTCCAGTTCTGCTGCTGAATCTCCTCAGTTTCATGGCAAGACTAGTCAATCCCCTGTGGATAGACTAACACTCTTTTCCTATGATCCCACCTATCCATGAAGCAAAGTCAAAGTTAATGGCTAGGAAAGCTATTTTGAAAAATAAACCTTTGACACTACAGGTCATACCTTGGCTTTTCTAGCCATTAACTTTCATCTTTGAAGCATTAATTTGCTTCTTACTAATAAGCATGTTGTCAAAGTGTATATGCCCCTACCTCATGCCTTAATCTCCTCCATTTTAGATAGTCAGTTTCTGATTTGTCCATCTCTATTAAACCAGTTCATATATTCTACATTCCAGTTACTAAAGAATTCCTGCAGCTGTTTTTCCTTATTTTGAGTGACTTTCAACCTGGGCTCAACTTCTAAGACTATATTTCTCTGTTCATCTTTTTCACAGGCCTATTATTTGAGAAATGGGTGGCCAGTTCTGTTTCCTCCTCTGTCTTATTTTGGGAGCTCTATTTAAACCTATCCACCATGAGTAACCTGTCTGGCATTTAAAATACAGATGACATAGCTTCCAGCACCACAGCTTCCCACAAGTTACCTTAAAATAGTAAAGTGATAGATTAATGCTGTATTAATAAGAGTAAACAGTAAACAAGTAAGCAACCACACGCCTAAGCTGTAAAGTAAAACACTTGCAAATCATTCTGCCAATACAACAAACTGCTAGGTAGGTGTTATACCTCTAGCAGGAAACTGTAAAGACAATAAAGAGAAGAGTACTGAATAGTACATGGACTGCCAAAAGAGTAAATAGATATGTCTTGGAAAAAGTGTAGCCAGAATGCTTCTTGAAGGCAAGGCAAAACTTCTTGGAGGAATGACAAAACTTTTGTCTCACCCACTTGGGCATGTTTCTAGGAAAATCTACTCCTTGGAAAGGGATATCATACTTGGAAAGGTGGAAGGTCAGGAAAAGAGAGGAAGACTCTTAATGAGGTGGGTTGACACAGTGATTGTAACATTGGGCTCACTTGTGTCAGAGATCATGATGATGGTACGGGATTCAGATCTGTTGTTCCTAAGGTCACTATGTTGTTGTTGATTGCTGTTGAGTTGCGCACGACTCATAGGAACCCAATGAGTTGTACTCAATTCTCCGGCACCAAACAGTGATGATGACAACATCAAACGAGCACTCTCAGAAAGCAACTATGTCCATTTTTCAGAAGAATCTTCTATATGTAAAATTTGAGCATCTGCCTCCATAAGCCATGGCTAGAAAAACATTTTCAAGAGTAAGCCCTTGACACCACAAACATCACTTTTTCTACAAAATAGAACGTTCATCAAAAATTTAAGCTTATTAGAAAATGCAATAAATTATGAATAAATGTTTGAAATGTTTAAGGTCTAATGGTGCAATATTAGCATTATGTCTTCTCTTTTCTTTGAATTTCCAGAGCAAAACTACATCAGAAAAATAAAGACCAAAATATTAGTCTAAAAATATGTTGGAAATATTTTTCCTTGAGTTGTGAATTAATGAAACTCAAGTTTCTTTTTATTGCAAGATGGCTGTAATAGGTAAAAATGGGAGCTCTGGTGCCTACTTGGTAGGAAATTATGCTGCCAATTCCATAGGAGGTGGGAGAAAGACACGTAGTCTCCTCCACTTAGACTTGCAGCCTTTGAAAACCCACTGAAGAGTCAGCTTTGAGTCAAGTCCAACACTAAGACAATGAATTTGAGATGAGAGAGCTCTGGATGCGTAATAATAGGGAGCTGTATTGCCAGCCCTAAGGTATGAGGTTCAAGTCTATGAGCAGTTTCCTCTAATGTCTTTGCATGCCTTTGAAAAACCACTGGGTCATCTATGAATCAGCTCCTCGGTTCATTCCAACAGAGAAGAAACGTTTGCATATGTAGGAAAGCAGGAGTGGAAAAATATAAAAAACCCTATTGAATATAGTCTTAGTTGACAACTACTCTCACCTTATTAAATACTATATAAATTGCTAATGAATTATCTTACGTTCTGAATTTTTGTATTGTGACCCTTTACCTTTGTATTTAACTATTTTGTTTGTTTATTCTCTAGTTTATATATTTTGTAATTTAGTGATTATATCTTTTTTCATGTAGTCGTCACAAGTCATGGATTTCCACAGTGCCTTCAAACCTCAGTTCAACAAAACAGGAAACTGCAGATTCCCTCCACCATCTTTTTCAGAGGAATTGTCTTCTAACAATCATATTCTAAAACAAAATTTTGCTCCTGGAATAGCACCTATTGCATATGAAAAAAACCCAAATGAACAGGTACTGTTGAATGACTATTTTTTAGTATTTGATTTAATTATATTTTAATTATGTTCTCTTTTTAAAATAGATTTAATAAATATAACTTGTTTATTGCTATATGTAACAAAATTAGGGGACTAATTAAATGTAATTCTTAGGTAAGACGTTTATGTGTTGAATGTTTTAAAAAAGATCCTTGAAATGATCATTTTTTAGGATATCATTGATAATTCAATAATTAAAAATAGCTTTAAGACTTCTATGGTAGAGGATAACGATGTAATTAATTGTGAATGACTATTTATTGGTAATGTCATGGTAACTCAGTATGCAAGATACAGAGAGGAACCTATGAATAGTAATATATAATCTTAGTGATTTCATAGTTGTCTCCTAAAGTTGAATTGTGATGACTTGATTCTTTTTATAATTTGACAGATGACTAGATTCATTCCCGTTAAAACTATAGAAATATACTTATGTAATATTAAAATATTCAGTCATTGTATTCTTTAGTTAACAATGTAAAACCAATCAAATATCTTTTATCATATCAAGAAGTGAAATTTTCACTCATTCACACTTACTCATTGCTCTCGAGTTGGAACCAGCTCATAACTAACCCTTCAGTGAGTTTTTACAAGTATAGTGCACATACGAAGAAATTGTTCATCTTTCTTCCAAGGAGCTGCTGGTGGATTCAAATGCCAGAAGTGCCACCTTTGCATTGGCAGTGCAACTCTGCTAACTGAGCCTCCAGAGCTCCCTTTGTTGTTGTGTGCCATCCAGTCAGAACCAAGCCATAGCTGACTAATAGCTACCTCAGGTTTTCAGAGGCAGTCAATCGCATGGGAGGAGATTGCCCATCTCCCACAGAGCAGCTAGTGGAGTCAAACCATGTGCCTTTGGGATTGCAGCAGAGCTTCTTTTTTTTTTTTT